ATCAGTACATACATCAGTACATAATTATTTAATTATTGACAATTTGACAACACTCACATTTCTTGCCTTCTTCCACCACTCAATCTCCATGTCAATTGTTTTTGTCGCATTATTCCAATCAGTACCTATTTGCCTCCTCTTCAACTTTAGCCAAATGGTCTGATCAGCCTCTAATTTATCCCACTTGTTCTGGCTGTGGCTTGGGTCATGGCAGCCTGGGCGCCTGTTGGCTGGCCGTCCGTGGCCACCAAGTGTGGGGGCAGTCGTCGGCCCTGTGCGGCAGTAGCCGGCCAGGCACGGCCAGCAGCCGGCAACAGGTGGCCAGCAGCCATCCCTGGCTGGTCGGAGGTGGCCGGCGGCGCCGCCTGAGGAGGCCACGGCAGCCCCACCCTTGGCGCCGGCGAGCTACCTGGACTCGCGGTGGCGGCGGTAGTAGCTTCAGGCGCAGTTTGGGAAGACAGGAAGGAGGCGTTTTGGGCGCCAGAAAAGACGTCATCCGGTAGAGGATCACTGGATCTAGCACCTCCGTCCGTCACCTCGTCGGAGTGCTTCGCCAAGGCGGCCGGATTTAGAGGCGACGCGGGCTACGGTTGGGGAAGAAAGGCTCGAGCGCCAGAAACAAAAGGGGTCGGGTGGGAGATGGGGAAAACAGAATGAAACGTTACCTTGTGTAATCGATGGTGGCAGCGGTGGGTAATTAGCCCTCAGCTCTATAAGGACATACAAAACGCTAGTTTCTAGAGTACCCTTGAGGAGCTCCGACAAAAATATAGAGTTGGCCCTCAACTCTACCTTTTTCTGGGAATATTACTTCAAATATTCTATGTACTATTGAAAACTTGTGTTGAACCCTGAATCGATCAAGAAAAAGGTTAAAGTTGCAGTTTTCTGTTAAATGCGCAAAACTTCGTCTGATTTTCGCCGATTCTCGCTCATAGATTTGGCATTTTCACCAAATTTCGGATAAGTTTTGGTGTGTCAGTTTGAATTGGTTTGACACATTTTGTACAAACATCGAAAATCGGTAATCGCTTCTACCACAGGGTCCGATATTTCTTCACTTAACGATAGCCTGAATCTCAAGCATGGATGGTGGATGCGTGACCGCTGCGTGTGGATCGAATTCAACCCTGGTTTCAGGGTGACGTGGCGCTTGGAGGAATGATGAATAGTGAATAGTACCGACGCGAGAAACATAAGGTTTTATATGATGAGGTAGATCATATTACAAATTAAAGTGTCAAAAGAGATAGCCATCCACAATGCTAGCTAGTATTAAATATTTTACTCTCTGTCCACCAATGCGTGTTTTAAAATTTGTCTGTCCATGAATGTGTGTTTATAATTTGTTAGGATTTCTGCAAGAAAAATGTCTCATCAATTACCTCCCCTTTAAATTTCTTTCCATTTTACCCCAATCGCCCTTTCAACTTCAATCAGCCCTCATTTAGCGAAGGGCATCACAATCTTTTCTTCTTAACCTTAATCTCATTTAATGAAGGGCACCATGCACATTCTTTTTTCTTAATCTTAATCTCTGGCAAGCAAAGTTTGTATTTGTTGACGGAGGATTGCTACGTAGCTCTGACACCTCCTTCTTGCTTGATTTATTTTAGTTTTTCCAAGTCTTAAAGATATGACTTCAACTAGTTTAATTTTTTTTTTCAATTTGGATTATGTATAACGATGAAATCTCTTAATACAAATCACGCACCAAAAGCGAGCCAGCGAGAGTGGCCACGTCGCTCACGCTCCAGCCATCGGATTGGGCGATCGACGCCCAGATCGAGCCCCGCAAAGCGGGTGGGTGGCCAGCGCCCCAAGCCACGAGGTGGTGCGGGCGACGCCTGCGCCGCAGCCGAGGTGTTCCTGGCCATCCCCGGCTGCCGTGCCGCGGTCGCGACCGAGCTGCGCCGCTGCAGCCAGGCCTGTGCTCGTTGCCAGCAGGCCACGGGCCGTCTCTCGCCGAGGCACGGCTGGCCCCGGTGTCCGCAGCGGGACCAACGCAGCTCACCGATAGACCAGGCGTCGGCGCTGAGGCCGTCCCCATCCGGATCGACGCCGGCGTCGGCCGGCACCTGTTGGGTTTACACAAGAGTAGATGAAAAGCAACTTTAGGCTTGCGTATCAGCACGAGAAGGGCTGTCACCACCATGTTGGGTTTAGCAATTAATTAGGGCGAGAAAATAATTGTCTAGGATTTTGTTTGGAATCTTTGGATGCGTGGGTGGACCAGGGCTTAAAAGACAAGAGAGTAGATGAAAAGCAACTTTAGGCTTGCGTATCGCACGTGAGGGGCCTATCACCACCATGTTGGGTTTAGCAATTAATTAGGGTGCAGAAAATAATTGTCTAGGATTTTGTTTGGAATCTTTGGATGCGTGGGTGGACCAGAGTTGAGAGCCAACGTCAATAGGCCGGATGGTTAATTGCTATTTACAAAAAATTGACATGTCACCTAAAAGCTGGAGGCCAAGATTTTTGCAGGCGAAAAAACAAAGGTACAGTACGTGTTAACACTGGTGAAAGAAGATTTGTACAGGCGAAAGGCCATGCGAAAGATTGCACAGTCCGTGTTAATTTTATGGGAGAATTATGTATTTGGCACTGAAACAAATCAGTCTTCCGCAATTGGCACTAAAAAATTGGACTTTCTTATTTGGCACCAAGTTAAAATTTTCTTCCCTAGATAGCACTGCCGTCCATTTGGTCTAATAACGCAGGCGTCAAGTGGCTGGTAAAATTATAAATGCCCTTCTTTGTAGCAGAAATACGGGAAATAATTGATGGACGGTCATCGGAGAAATTTGCCCAGGCATTGCCTGCGAGACCCAGTGACCCTCCGTCAAAGACCTTGCGTATGCGTGATCTCATGCTACCTGTTTCATCACGATGACGGCTCCGTCCCTTGCACCGAGCTAGCGGCAGTTCTGTCGGTCCGGTAGACTGATGGCATCCTTTCCCCCTCTGGGTATCAATCGGCGACGGCCAGAGGCCAATCCGCCGCAGTCCGCACCGTGCTCCACAGACTCCCATGCTTTAGTTCCTTCCATGCAGCTTCCTCCCTCACTCTTTTCAACCTTTCCATACCGCTTTTTTCCGTCCCAGACAACCACGGGGTAAATTAAGAACAGCGCACAATTAGCAGGCACCGCAAGTTATTTCCTCGCATATTTCTACCTCGCTCGCAGAGAGGAGCTAGTGTGTAGTGCGTGTCTAGGTATAACAACAGCCCGAGCACGAAGCTGCTCGCAAACTGTGGGTTTTCTAGATCGACGGCATGGTGGTCTAGGGACTATAGGATCCATCGATGGCGCTGCTCGGGCAGCGGCGTAACGGCGGCAAGGGCGGCCGTGGCGCTGTGACGATCTGACCGAGGCGCGGCGATGGCGCTGCCAGGCTCAGGAACTTCCTGCTGCAGCTGGATGACCAGCGCGTGGCGGCACGCGCTGGCTCAGTGAACTTCCTGCTGCAGCTGGATGACCAGCGCCGGCGGCGAGGCACGGCTGGCCCCATGACCAAATTTTATTTGGCGCTGTATAATAATATTTGAGAAACCAGATCAACCAGGCGTATTTCGCCAGAGGCCGCCCCCATCCGGATCGACGCTTAAATGACGGCACCAATGCGTTGCGTGCTCTGCTCTGCTGAGCGCTCCTGGGTGAGGAAAGCGAGAATAAAATTGCTTTTTCAGGATTCCACAATGCAAAATCTCCAGACACATATAAACAGTTGTTAACTACACTACATCGTAGCACATTGAGAATAAGGAAAAGTATAGGGGCTAAGTGCAAAATCTTTGTCGTATTAGGTTTTCCTTTTACTTTCATGTGTTTTAATCTGCTAATAAAAGTTATGAAATCTATATGAAAACATACAAAAGTCATAAAATAAAAAACAAGTTCTGTTTTTGTTTCTCATAACGAGATCTATGCAATAGATATATAATATCGTACACATTAGTGCAATTCAAATATTCAACATTAACGATTCCGTTTGTCCATCTATATCCATTTCACATATTGAAGTAATTTTATCATTTACTTCCAGATAATCATGCTCCAGATTTTATTTGGCATCTGTATAATAATATTTGAGAAACCAAATCAACCAAAGGTTTATTTCCACCGGTTAAAATCCATGCATGTGATTATACTCTTAAATAACCACGTCTATGAACGTTGTTGCCCATTTACAAAAATTCGATTTTTTTTTTTGCAAATTCTATACATCATATAAAAATTGCTTGTATGACGAACACAATACATATCAATAACATCCATTTTTGTAGGGCTAAACAGGTGATTTAAATACGTACACTAACATTTGTATATATTCACGTATCTACGAAGGTCGCTCCATATTACTACACATAATTTCCACCTATAATCTTTTCACGTACGTTTTCTTGCAAACCAAGGATTTGTCTTACCAACGTTGCTTAAAAAAACATACATCTGTCTACGTACAATTATTATTACTCCGTACATGAAATAATTTTTTTATCAACTATAATACTTCGACATAAGACAGGCACTGCGCGGCAACGCCGCACGCCTTTCTAGTGATGGTACTATAAAAGAATTCATGATAAATCCAATGACAATTTTATATATAAATGGCAAACATATTATTCATCAAAGTTTGAAAGGTTGACAAGACAAATTCTACAGAACATAAGTAGCAGTTGAGGTTATGACGTATCCAAGCTTAAGTGACTAACAAACACGAAAATTATGTAAAATAGCACAAGACAAAGATCTAGCAACCCTTATTATATATCTGGCCCCCTGTCTAACTTTCTTGTGCGTTAGGTTATTCCTCTTTCGCCTCTTCCACTGAATCCATAGGAGGTGCTGCAGCTTTCATCTTAGCCTTCTTCAGTGTTTCCACTAAACCTGCCAAGCAGTCATCTGCTTCTCTCCTCTTGACCCGCAGCATGAGGTTACCGGCCACGTCTGCCGGTGCCCCCATTCATCTCATCGAGCAATCGATCGATTTCACCGTTCCTCTTGCCGCCAGCGGCATGAGGTTATCTGCCACGCCTGCCGAGTTGTGTCGATCTCATCGAGCAGTTGCCCGATTTCACCGAATAGTGAATGCTCAGTGATGTCTAGATAGCTTTTAGTGAGCATCTTGAAGGCCTCGAACCGGCAGTAGGACATCTCAATGTGCCTGTCCATCCTACCCCGCCGGATCAGCGCCGGGTCGAGCCGGTCAACGTGGTTCGTGGTGAACACGAAGATCCGCTCGCTGCCGCAGGCTGACCACAGCCCGTTGACAAAGCTGAGCAGCTCCGACAGCATCACTTTGCCTTTGTTATTCTTCTCGGACAGCTCTATCACCAGGTGGTTGTCGTCATTCTCTTTGGCTGCCTCCTTGCCCTTGCGCTTGGTGGTGAGTTCGACCTCAATCGCGTCGATGTCCTCGATAACGATGATGGATCTGTCCGTCGTATCAAGGAAGAGCTTCCGCAGCTCGGCGTTGTCCTTGATGGATGTTAGGTCGAGGTCGTAGACATCATACTCGAGGAAGTTGGCCATAGCCCCGATCATGGTGGACTTGCCTGTGCCCGGCGGTCCATGCAGGAGGTATCCCCGCTTCCACGCCTTGCCGACCTTGGAGTGGTACTCCTTCGCCTCACGGAATGCCGTGAGATCCTCCATGATCTCGATCTTCTTGCTGTGGTCCATGGCGAGCATGTCAAACGTCGCCGGGGGATTGTACGGGACATTGATCCACCTGCTCTTCCCTTCTTGGGAGTGGTTGGTGAACAGTAGTCTCTACCGGTTCGTGGCGATTATCTCGCGCCACTGCCGGACGATGCTGGGCAGGTAGGAGTCGAGCACAAGTTTGCGGTGGCGCTTGTGAAACACCAGCCTGTAGCACCGAGGCTCATCGTCCGAATCCCGGGCAACAAGCTGATGACGGTGGGCCCCCTGTTCTTGGCGGATTTGGGGCACAGCCTCCACCACATGCGGGCTCCGTCGAAATTGTCGACGACCTCTTGGTTCTTGTCCAGACTGATAAGCGGGTCGTCCTTGCTGTTGTTGCCGAGCTCGGCCTTGAGCTTGCTTGCATGATCCAAGCACACCATTCTCAGGTAGGTGGAAACGGCGAAGAACATTTTGTTCCATTCGAACCGCTCTTCACCGTACTCGGAGATGGTGATCTGCTCATAGGGGTTGAAGTAGGACATCACCATGGGAACCAAGCTACTGATGATGTGCCTAGCCTCATCATGGACGTGCTGCGGCATCCTCGACCAAAAGCAAGCCGAAGCCAGCCATGGCCGAATTCAAACCCTACCCACTTCTCCACAGAAAACGCCATGAATGCGCACTGCAGCCCCTACTCACCTAATCAAGCTAGCTAGCTCTCTGTAATGGTTGCCGTTGTGGCTGTGTATGTTTACTGTTGTTGCTTCTATGCCCTCGGCATATATAATCGGTGATTTGGCGCAGAAATTATCCACACGGCATCGTCGAAATTTCGTCGAAGCAAGTGCAAGAGGTGCTATTTAGACTTAGATGACAAGAAGTAGAAATTATGCTGGGGGGGCGCTAAAAGACAAGAGTAGATGAAAAGCGGCTTTAGGCTTGCGTATCAGCACGAGAGGGGCTATCACCACCATGTTGGGTTTAGCCATTAATTAGGGCGTAGAAAATAATTGTCTAGGATTTTGTTTGGAATCTTTGGATGTGTGGGTGGACCAGGGCGCTAAAAGACAAGAGTAGATGAAAAGCAAAGGATTGCGTATCAGCACGAGAGGGGCCTATCACCACCATGTTGGGTTTAGCAATTAATTAGGGTCCAGAAAATAATTGTCTAGGATTTTGTTTGGAATCTTTGGATGCGTGGGTGGACCAGAGTTGAGAGCCAACGTCAATAGGCCGGATGGTTAATTGCTATTTATAAAAAAATTGACATGTCACCTAAAAGCTGGAGGCCAAGATTTTTGCAGGCGAAAAAACAAAGGTACAGTACGTGTTCACCCTAGTGAAAGAAGATTTGTACAGGCGAAAGGCCGGCGAAAGATTGCAAAGTCCGTGTTAATTTTATGGGAGAATTATGTATTTGGCACTGAAACAAATCAGTCTTCCGCATTTGGCACTAAAAAAATTGGACTTTCTTATTTGGCACCAAGTTAAAATTTTCTTCCCTAGATAGCACTGCCGTCCATTTGGCCTAGTCACGGCGTCAAGTGGCTGGTAAAATTATGAATGCCCTTCTTTGTAGCAGAAATACGGGAAATAATTGATGGACGGTGATCGGAGAATTTGCCCAGGCATTGCCTGCGAGACCCGGTGACCCTCCGGTCAAAGACCTTGCGTATGCGTGATCTCACGCTGCCTGTGTCATCGTGATGACGGCTCCGTCCCTTGCACCGAGCTAGCGGCAGTTCGGTCGGTCCGGTAGACTGGTGGCATCCTTTCCCCCCTCTGGGTATCCATCGGCTATGGCCAGAGGCCAATCCGCCGGCAGTCCGGCACCGGGCTCCACTTACTCCCATGCTCTAGTTCCTTCCATGCAGCTTCCTCCCCTCACTCTTTTCAACCTTTCCATACCGCTTTTTTCCCTCCCAGACAACCACGGGGTAAATTAAGAACAGCGCACAATTAGCAGGCACCGCAAGTTATTTCCTCGCATCTTTCTACCTCGCTCGCAGAGAGGAGCTAGTGTGCAGTGCATGTCTAGATATAACAACAGCCCGAGCACGAAGCTGCTCGCCAACTGTGGGTTTTCTAGATCGACGGCATGGTGGTCTAGGGACTATACGATCCATCGATGGCGTCGTCGGGCAGCGTCGTGCCGGCGGCAAGGGCGGCCGTGGCGCGGAACGATCTGACCGAGGCGCGCGACGGCGCGGCCAGGCTCAGGAACTTCCTGCTGCAGCTGGACGACCAGCGCGCGGCGAGGCTCAGGAACTTCCTGCTGCAGCTGGATGACCAGCGCGCGGCCGAGGCACGGCTGGCCCCGGTGACCGCGCGGGACCAGCGCAGCTCGTCGGCAGACCAGGCGTCGGCGCTGAGGCCGTCCCCATCCGGATCGACGCCGGCGTCGGCACCCTGCGTGCGTGCTCTGCTCTGCTGAGCGCTCCTGGGTGAGGAAAGGAGAAATGAAGCTTTTTCAGGATTCCCAATGCAAAATCTCCAGACACATATAAACAGTTGTTTACTGTACATCGTAGCACATTGAGAATAAGGAAAAGTATAGGGGCCTAAGTGCAAAACGTTTGTCGTATTAGGTTTTCCTTTTACTTTCATGTTTTAATCCGCTAATAAAAGTTATGAAATCTATATGAAAACATACAAAAGTCATAAAATAAAAAAACAAGTTCTGTTTTGTTTCTCATAACGAGATCTATGCAATAGATATATAATATCGTACACATTAGTGCAATTCAAATATTCAACATTAACGATTCCGTTTGTCCATCTATATCCATTTCACATATTGAAGTAATTTTATCATTTACTTCCAGATAATCATGCTCCAGATTTTATTTGGCATCTGTATAATAATATTTGAGAAACCAAATCAACCAAAGGTTTATTTCCACCGGTTAAAATCCATGCATGTGATTATACTCTTAAATAACCACGTCTACGAACGTTGTTGCCCATTTACAAAAATTCGACTTTTTTTTTTTTGCAAATTCTATACTTCATATAAAAATTGCTTGTATGACGAACACAATACATATCAATAACATCCATTTTTGTAGGGCTAAACAGGTGATTTAAATACATACACTAACATTTGTATATATTCACGTATCTACGAAGGTCGCTCCATATTACTACACATAATTTCCACCTATAATCTTTTCACGTACGTTTTCTTGCAAACCAAGGATTTGTCTTACCAACGTTGCTTAAAAAAACATACATCTGTCTACGTACAATTATTATTACTCCGTACATGAAATAATTTTTTTATCAACTATAATACTTCGACATAAGACAGGCACTGCGCGGCAACGCCTCACGCCTTTCTAGTGATGGTACTATAAAAGAATTCATGATAAATCCAATGACAATTTTATATATAAATGGCAAACATATTATTCATCAAAGTTTGAAAGGTTGACAAGACAAATTCTACAGAACATAAGTAGCAGTTGAGGTTATGACGTATCCAAGCTTAAGTGACTAACAAACACGAAAATTATGTAAAATAGCACAAGACAAAGATCTAGCAACCCTTATTATATATCTGGCCCCCTGTCTAACTTTCTTGTGCGTTAGGTTATTCCTCTTTCGCCTCTTCCACTGAATCCATAGGAGGTGCTGCAGCTTTCATCTTAGCCTTCTTCAGTGTTTCCACTAAACCTGCCAAGCAGTCATCTGCTTCTCTCCTCTTGACCCGCAGCATGAGGTTACCGGCCACGTCTGCCGGTGCCCCATTCATCTCATCGAGCAATCGATCGATTTCACCGTTCCTCTTGCCGCGCGGCATGAGGTTATCTGCCACGTCTGCCGGAGTTGTGTCGATCTCATCGAGCAGTTGCCCGATTTCACCGAATAGTGAATGCTCAGTGATGTCTAGATAGCTTTTAGCGAGCATCTTGAAGGCCTCGAACCGGCAGTAGGACATCTCAATGTGCCTGTCCATCCTACCCCGCCGGATCAGCGCCGGGTCGAGCCGGTCAACGTGGTTCGTGGTGAACACGAAGATCCGCTCGCTGCCGCAGGGCCGACCCACAACCCGTCGACAAAGCTGAGCAGCCCCGACAGCGTCACTTTGCCTTTGTTATTCTTCTCGGACAGCTCTATCACCAGGTGGTTGTCGTCATTCTCTTTGGCTGCCTCCTTGCCCTTGCGCTTGGTGGTGAGTTCGACCTCAATCGCGTCGATGTCCTCGATAACGATGATGGATCTGTCCGTCGTATCAAGGAAGAGCTTCCGCAGCTCGGCGTTGTCCTTGATGGATGTTAGGTCGAGGTCGTAGACATCATACTCGAGGAAGTTGGCCATAGCCCGATCATGGTGGACTTGCCTGTGCGGCCGGCGGTCCATGCAGGAGGTATCCCCGCTTCCACGCCTTGCCGACCTTGGAGTGGTACTCCTTCGCCTCACGGAATGCCGTGAGATCCTCCATGATCTCGATCTTCTTGCTGTGGTCCATGGCGAGCATGTCGAACGTCGCGGGGGGATTGTACGGGACATTGATCCACCTGCTCTTCCCTTCTTGGGAGTGGTTGGTGAACAGTAGCCTCTGCCGGTTCGTGGCGATTATCTCGCGCCACTGCCGGACGATCTTTGGGCAGGTAGGAGTCGAGCACAAGTTTGCGGTGGCGCTTGTGAAACACCAGCTGTGTAGCACCGAGGCTCATCGTCGGAATCCCCAGGCAACAAGTCGATGACGGTGGGCCCCTGTTCTTGGCGGATTTGGGGCACAGCCTCCACCACATGCGGGCTCCGTCGAAATTGTCGACGACCTCTTGGTTCTTGTCCAGACTGATAAGCGGGTCATCCTTGCTGTTGTTGCCGAGCTCGGCCTTGAGCTTGCTTGCATGATCCAAGCACACCATTCTCAGGTAGGTGGAAACGGCGAAGAACATTTTGTTCCATTCGAACCGCTCTTCACCGTACTCGGAGATGGTGATCTGCTCATAGGGGTTGAAGTAGGACATCACCATGGGAACCAAGCTACTGATGATGTGCCTAGCCTCATCATGGACGTGCTGCGGCATCCTCGACCAAAGCAAGCCGAAGCCAGCCATGGCCGACCCGAACCCTACCCACTTCTCCACAGAAAACGCCATGAATGCGCACTGCAGCCCCTACTCACCTAATCAAGCTAGCTAGCTCTCTGTAATGGTTGCCGTTGTGGCTGTGTATGTTTACTGTTGCTTCTATGCCCTCGGCATATATAATCGGTGATTTGGCGCGTAAATTATCCACACGGCATCGTCGAAATTTCGTCGAAGCAAGTGCAAGAGGTGCTATTTAGACTTAGATGACAAGAAGTAGAAATTGCGCGGGGGGGCGCTAAAAGACAAGAGTAGATGAAAAGCGGCTTTAGGCTTGCGTATCAGCACGAGAGGGGCTATCACCACCATGTTGGGTTTAGCCATTAATTAGGGCGTAGAAAATAATTGTCTAGGATTTTGTTTGGAATCTTTGGATGTGTGGGTGGACCAGGGGCGCTAAAAGACAAGAGTAGATGAAAAGCAAAGGATTGCGTATCAGCACGAGAGGGGCCTATCACCACCATGTTGGGTTTAGCAATTAATTAGGGTCCAGAAAATAATTGTCTAGGATTTTGTTTGGAATCTTTGGATGCGTGGGTGGACCAGAGTTGAGAGCCAACGTCAATAGGCCGGATGGTTAATTGCTATTTATAAAAAAATTGACATGTCACCTAAAAGCTGGAGGCCAAGATTTTTGCAGGCGAAAAAACAAAGGTACAGTACGTGTTCACCCTAGTGAAAGAAGATTTGTACAGGCGAAAGGCCGGCGAAAGATTGCAAAGTCCGTGTTAATTTTATGGGAGAATTATGTATTTGGCACTGAAACAAATCAGTCTTCCGCATTTGGCACTAAAAAAATTGGACTTTCTTATTTGGCACCAAGTTAAAATTTTCTTCCCTAGATAGCACTGCCGTCCATTTGGCCTAGTCACGGCGTCAAGTGGCTGGTAAAATTATGAATGCCCTTCTTTGTAGCAGAAATACGGGAAATAATTGATGGACGGTGATCGGAGAATTTGCCCAGGCATTGCCTGCGAGACCCGGTACACTCCGGTCAAAGACCTTGCGTATGCGTGATCTCACGCTGCCTGTGTCATCGTGATGACGGCTCCGTCCCTTGCACCGAGCTAGCGGCAGTTCGGTCGGTCCGGTAGACTGGTGGCATCCTTTCCCACCTCTGGGTATCCATCGGCTATGGCCAGAGGCCAATCCGCCGGCAGTCCGGCACCGGGCTCCACTTACTCCCATGCTCTAGTTCCTTCCATGCAGCTTCCTCCCCTCACTCTTTTCAACCTTTCCATACCGCTTTTTTCCCTCCCAGACAACCACGGGGTAAATTAAGAACAGCGCACAATTAGCAGGCACCGCAAGTTATTTCCTCGCATCTTTCTACCTCGCTCGCAGAGAGGAGCTAGTGTGCAGTGCATGTCTAGATATAACAACAGCCCGAGCACGAAGCTGCTCGCCAACTGTGGGTTTTCTAGATCGACGGCATGGTGGTCTAGGGACTATAGGATCCATCGATGGCGTCGTCGGGCAGCGGCGTAACGGCGGCAAGGGCGGCCGTGGCGCGGAACGATCTGACCGAGGCGCGCGACGGCGCGGCCAGGCTCAGGAACTTCCTGCTGCAGCTGGACGACCAGCGCGCGGCGAGGCTCAGGAACTTCCTGCTGCAGCTGGATGACCAGCGCTTGGCCGAGGCACGGCTGGCCCCGGTGACCGCGGCAGGGACCAGCGCAGCTCGTCGGCAGAGACCAGGCGTCGGCGCTGAGGCCGTCCCCATCCGGATCGACGCCGGCGTCGGCACCCTGCGTGCGTGCTCTGCTCTGCTGAGCGCTCCTGGGTGAGGAAAGCAAAATAGAAGCTTTTTCAGGATTCCCAATGCAAAATCTCCAGACACATATAAACAGTTGTTAACTATACATCGTAGCACATTGAGAATAAGGAAAAGTATAGGGGCCTAAGTGCAAAATGTTTGTCGTATTAGGTTTTCCTTTTACTTTCATCATGTTTTAATCTGCTAATAAAAGTTATGAAATCTATATGAAAACATACAAAAGTCATAAAATAAAAAACAAGTTCTGTTTTGTTTCTCATAACGAGATCTATGCAATAGATATATAATATCGTATACATTAGTGCAATTCAAATATTCAACATTAACGATTCCGTTTGTCCATCTATATCCATTTCACATATTGAAGTAATTTTATCATTTACTTCCAGATAATCATGCTCCAGATTTTATTTGGCATCTGTATAATAATATTTGAGAAACCAAATCAACCAAAGGTTTATTTCCACCGTATAAAATCCATGCATGTGATTATACTATTAAATAACCACGTCTATGAACGTTGTTGCCCATTTACAAAAATTCGACTTTTTTTTTTTTTTTGCAAATTCTATACTTCATATAAAAATTGCTTGTATGACGAACACAATACATATCAATAACATCCATTTTTGTAGGGCTAAACAGGTGATTTAAATACATACACTAACATTTGTATATATTCACGTAGCTACGAAGGTCGCTCCATATTACTACACATAATTTCCACCTATAATCTTTTCACGTACGTTTTCTTGCAAACCAAGGATTTGTCTTACCAACGTTGCTTAAAAAAACATACATCTGTCTACGTACAATTATTATTACTCCGTACATGAAATAATTTTTTTATCAACTATAATACTTCGACATAAGACAGGCACTGCGCGGCAACGCCGCACGCCTTTCTAGTGATGGTACTATAAAAGAATTCATGATAAATCCAATGACAATTTTATATATAAATGGCAAACATATTATTCATCAAAGTTTGAAAGGTTGACAAGACAAATTCTACAGAACATAAGTAGCAGTTGAGGTTATGACGTATCCAAGCTTAAGTGACTAACAAACACGAAAATTATGTAAAATAGCACAAGACAAAGATCTAGCAACCCTTATTATATATCTGGCCCCCCTGTCTAACTTTCTTGTGCGTTAGGTTATTCCTCTTTCGCCTCTTCCACTGAATCCATAGGAGGTGCTGCAGCTTTCATCTTAGCCTTCTTCAGTGTTTCCACTAAACCTGCCAAGCAGTCATCTGCTTCTCTCCTCTTGACCCGCAGCATGAGGTTACCGGCCACGTCTGCCGGTGCCCCATTCATCTCATCGAGCAATCGATCGATTTCACCGTTCCTCTTGCCGCGCGGCATGAGGTTATCTGCCACGTCTGCCGGAGTTGTGTCGATCTCATCGAGCAGTTGCCCGATTTCACCGAATAGTGAATGCTCAGTGATGTCTAGATAGCTTTTAGCGAGCATCTTGAAGGCCTCGAACCGGCAGTAGGACATCTCAATGTGCCTGTCCATCCTACCCCGCCGGATCAGCGCCGGGTCGAGCCGGTCAACGTGGTTCGTGGTGAACACGAAGATCCGCTCGCTGCCGCAGGCCGACCACAGCCCGTCGACAAAGCTGAGCAGCCCCGACAGCGTCACTTTGCCTTTGTTATTCTTCTCGGACAGCTCTATCACCAGGTGGTTGTCGTCATTCTCTTTGGCTGCCTCCTTGCCCTTGCGCTTGGTGGTGAGTTCGACCTCAATCGCGTCGATGTCCTCGATAACGATGATGGATCTGTCCGTCGTATCAAGGAAGAGCTTCCGCAGCTCGGCGTTGTCCTTGATGGATGTTAGGTCGAGGTCGTAGACATCATACTCGAGGAAGTTGGCCATAGCCCGATCATGGTGGACTTGCTCGTGCCCGGCGGTCCATGCAGGAGGTATCCCGCTTCCACGCCTTGCCGACCTTGGAGTGGTACTCGCCGCCTCACGGAATGCCGTGAGATCCTCCATGATCTCGATCTTCTTGCTGTGGTCCATGGCGAGCATGTCGAACGTCGCCGGGGGATTGTACGGGACATTGATCCACCTGCTCTTCCCTTCTTGGGAGTGGTTGGTGAACAGTAGCCTCTCTGCCGGTTCGTGGCGATTATCTCGCGCCCACTGCCGGACGATCTTTGGGCAGGTAGGAGTCGAGCACAAGTTTGCGGTGGCGCTTGTGAAACACCAGCCTGTAGCACCGAGGCTCATCGTCGGAATCCCGGTGCAACAAGCGATGACGGTGGGCCCCCTGTTCTTGGCGGATTTGGGGCACAGCCTCCACCACATGCGGGCTCCGTCGAAATTGTCGACGACCTCTTGGTTCTTGTCCAGACCGATAAGCGGGTCATCCTTGCTGTTGTTGCCGAGCTCGGCCTTGAGCTTGCTTGCATGATCCAAGCACACCATTCTCGGTAGTAGGTGGAAACGGCGAAGAACATTTTGTTCCATTCGAACCGCTCTTCACCGTACTCGGAGATGGTGATCTGCTCATAGGGGTTGAAGTAGGACATCACCATGGGAACCAAGCTACTGATGATGTGCCTAGCCTCATCATGGACGTGCTGCGGCATCCTCGACCAAAAGCAAGCCGAAGCCAGCCATGGCCGACCAAACCCTACCCACTTCTCCACAGAAAACGCCATGAATGCGCACTGCAGCCCCTACTCACCTAATCAAGCTAGCTAGCTCTCTGTAATGGTTGCCGTTGTGGCTGTGTATGTTTACTGTTGCTTCTATGCCCTCGGCATATATAATCGGTGATTTAGGCGCGTAATTATCCACACGGCATCGTCGAAATTTCGTCGAAGCAAGTGCAAGAGGTGCTATTTAGACTTAGATGACAAGAAGTAGAAATTGCGCTGGGGCGCTAAAGACAAGAGTAGATGAAAAGCGGCTTTAGGCTTGCGTATCAGCACGAGAGGGGCTATCACCACCATGTTGGGTTTAGCCATTAATTAGGGCGTAGAAAATAATTGTCTAGGATTTTGTTTGGAATCTTTGGATGTGTGGGTGGACCAGGGGCGCTAAAAGACAAGAGTAGATGAAAAGCAAAGGATTGCGTATCAGCACGAGAGGGGCCTATCACCACCATGTTGGGTTTAGCAATTAATTAGGGTCCAGAAAATAATTGTCTAGGATTTTGTTTGGAATCTTTGGAT